CCCACCACAACTGGTTCAAACACAATACGCACCGCCACCGGTTGATTACCACTATCCGCATCATCACCAAGGTCCACCGGTCGTGCATTATCAAACACCACAGCCGATCATTCAGTATCATCCGCCGCAGTCGGCAGTTCAATACCAGACACTGCCACCGGCCGTGCCATATCAGCATTTTCCTCAATACCAAGCACCAACTGGTTTGACGCGAAAACAGAAACGCAATATTATCAAAAGAGAGAAATATATATCGCGCCATCAATGAGCCTTGAACAAAGACATTGTAAAATACTCTGCAATATTTTGTTATAAATAAAGAGCCATCATATACACAAAGAAATAAACCCGTATGATTTTTGTTTGCTATTTGTTGTGTTGTCCACTAAAGAAAAATAAAAATTGAAAAAAAGGGAAAAAATCCCAACAAAAAAAACGCCCCAAAAAGAGAAGGGCTCAAAAAGAAAAAAAAAAGAAAAAAATTCCCAACAAAAAAGAGCGAAATCAGCCACCAAAAAAAGAAGAGAATCATTTGAAAAAAAAGGGGATAACAAATATATACAAAAAAAACCAAATAAAAAAAAAAACAGAAAAATGGCAAACAAAATAGAACGGTTGAAATTTACCAGAACACGGCTCGTACATGACATTGAAGCGCAGCTGAAAATCATTGATACTTTTCAAATCACAACCACAGCAGTTGTATTGTTGAGTCGAAAGGAGGCGCTGGAAGAGTTGTGGTCGGATTTTCGAACTAACACCTCGGAATTGGAAAATTCACGTTGTTTCAACGCCGGCCGAGTGTCGCCGATGTTTTGCACAATCACTCAGAAGATACTAATGCTCATGCAGGTACAACAAAACCACGAGCATGCAAACACGAATGAAAGTGGGATTTATGGTTTTCCTAGAGTGATTGGATTGCAACCATCATTTAAATTACCGCCGGTTCAAATCAAGCCATTTTCTGGTGACGAACTGGAATGGCCCGAATTTAAAGCGACATGTGAAAGCACTTTGGCAAATATTGCAGATGAAATATGTCGGTTTCACTACTTGAAAGGCTATCTGAAAGGTGAAGCCTTCAAAAAAATTCGACATTTGCCAATGATAACTGGCAGTTATGATCGTGCATAGGCAATATTGAATAAAGTCTATGATAAAGAACGAACAATAATCGACGCAAACTTGAAACGTTTGTTCGATTTAGAAACAGTGATTAAGGAATCAGCTGAAGCATTGACAAAAATGCTTGATGTAACAAATGAATGCATCGCTGCTGTCAATAGCTACGGAATTGAAACCAAAACATGGGATGCAATATTAATTTTTATGCTAACTCAACGGTTAGACGAAAATAGCATCCAATATTGGGAAGAACGAGTTCAAGGCAGCAAGACAGTACCGAAACTATCTGAATTCATTGAATTTTTGGAAATTCGGATTAATGTGTTAAAAATGATTGCCAATACGCGAGCATCAACCTATACCAGTGTTTCAGCTACGTCTCGCAAACCCAAGGTATTGGTCACTACCACAAATGCAAAAAAATGCACGATTTGCAAAAAAACGAACGAACATTTCACATTTCAATGTCCACAACTTGCTGCAATTCCTGCCGAAGACCGTATTAAATTTGTAGCAGATAAAGGTCTCTGTGTAAACTGCTTGTACACACATTCGGTTGAGAAATGTACCTCAAAATATTCGTGCCGGCATTGTTCGATGCGCCATAACACTACGTTGCATCCACCAGCTCGCGTACATAACATTACGACCGTTGAAGAGGATGTTCAGCTTGAGCCAGAGGAAGTTCAAGCAATGGAGATGGAGAACGAATTAATTTTGCACATTAACAAGGAAAAATCAGCAAAAAATGTCACATTAGCCACAGCTATCGTTCGAATTGTACATGGCGATCAGCATATTCTCGCACGAGCATTGATTGACCAAGCAGCCACAGCAAGCGTTATTTCTAAGCGGTTATGCGAAGCATTAAATTTAGTCGAAACAAATGTTTCAATGCCAATCATGAGCTTGTGTGGTACTGTCACATACAAGGTAAAGAAAAAGACATTTTTTACTATCCAATCGTTGTACAATGCTGAGTACAATTTGGGCGTGCCTGCGCTCGTTGTGCCAAACATTACTACGGTATCCACAACGCCAAATCATGATGAATTAACGCATCTCAATAATTTAGAGCTGGCTGACCCAGAATGGATGAAAGGAGGTCGTGTCGATCTTTTATTAAGTTCAGCTATTCATGGTGAAATCATTTTGGATGGTCTTATCAAAGGTTTGCCCGGGCAACCAGTCGCGCAAAGAACAGAATTAGGTTGGATTGTATCAGGTGGTGATGACGGCCAACAGATAATCGCATCGATTTTTTCGATAAAAGTATCTAACGAAGATTTGTCGCAAGATCGATTTGAAACGCTTCTGGGAAAGCGAAGAGATTCCTGAAGTAAAACAATATACTCCAGATGAACAATTAGCCGAGGAAATTTATGTTAAAACTACAAAACGATGTGACGACGGTCGCATCATGGTCAACTTACCATTCAAAAATGATAAACCTGATCTCGGCGAGTCACAGTTTATCGCACAAAAACGGTATTCATACATGTCGAAACGACACTTGGCAAAACCCGAACTTAAGAGTATATACGATGCCAGCATTCAAGAATACTTAGATTTAAATCAAATGGAGTTGGCTGATCCAGCCGTTTGGCCACATAACTATTTACCTCATCACCCGGTATTCAAAGAATCAAGCACTACAACAAAGGTTCGAGCTGTTTATGACGCTAGTTGTAAAACGAGCAACGGCAACTCATTAAACAGCCAACTGCTGGTAGGCCCTACTATACAGAGTGATTTGTTTTCTACTTTGATCCATTGGCGAAAACATCGATACGCCATCACTGGAGATATTGAGAAAATGTATCGACAAATTTGGATCAATCCCGAACACTCTGAATATCAACGAATCCTGTGGCAAGCCCCAGGATCGTCCGAAATAAAAAGTTACAGGTTGAAAACCGTAACTTTCGGGGTGGCAAGCTCGCCATATCTGGCGATTAGGACGTTATTCTTAATCGCTGACGATGTTGACGAGAACACACCAGAATTGGCCGCAAAAATTCGATATCAGTTTTATGTCGATGATTTTTTTGATTCCGTTGATACAATTGATGAGGCAAAGAAAATAATAAAAGATATGACGGCTACTCTATCGAAATATGGTTTTCCCCTCCGAAAATGGAAGGCAAATGATGAGGCGATTTTGGATGAAGTAGATCCCAATGATCAAGATAGTTCACCATCGAATGTATTCAAAACACTCGGTGTTCAATGGCAACCAAGCTCCGATGAATTCCTGTTCGTGCCAGTCGAATTCAAAAATACAGAAAAATGGACAAAAAGGACCATTCTCTCGGAAATAGCCAAACTATTTGATCCACTTGGTTGGTTGTCTCCTTGTATTGTGATGGCAAAAATGTTTATGCAGGAGTTATGGTTGCTCCAAATCGGATGGGATGATGCTTTGCCGCCGGAAAGTATCACAAAATGGACTGACATTCGGCAACAATTTTTATCACCATGTGCAGTCAAAGTACCACGATGGATTGGGTTAAGAACCGATATAAAAAATGTGTCACTTCAAGGATTCTGTGATGCATCGGAAAAGGGCATGTCAAGCGTTGCATTCATACGCGTGCAAAGTCTAGAAAATAAAATCTCATGTCAATTGATCGCAGCTAAAACAAAAGTCGCGCCATTGAAAAAATTATCAATTCCACGATTAGAGTTAAATGCAGCCGTGTTACTCACTAAATTAATGGAAAAGGTTAAAACTGCACTAAAATTACCAAATCTACAACAGCAAGCTTGGAGCGACTCTGAGATAGTTCTCCATTGGCTCGCTAATCATCCTAGTCGGTGGAAAACTTACATCGCTGGTAGAGTAGTTAAAATTCAGAACACACTACCATCACATAATTGGAGACACATTCCAACAGATCAAAATCCAGTCGATTGCGCTTCACGCGGTTTAACTCAGACGGAATTGGAGAAACTTGATTTATGGTGGCACGGTCCCAAATTCTTGTTGGAAAATGAACAAGACTGGCCAACAACCAATTTAATAAAAAATCCACCGACAGAAAAATTGGAAGAGCGAAAACGTGCGATCATTGCTACAGCCACTGTCATTGAATCAAACTCAATTATCGACAACTTCTCGAACTATGAAAGGATGTTGCGCGTGATTTCACGTTGTCTACGATGGAAATACCGAAAAAGCAACTTTAACGAACCAATCACAAGTACAGAGCTCGTCGAGACGGAAAAAACGTTGATTAAATCCATACAAAGAGACGCATTCACGAACGAAATTGAACAATTGCACAAAATAATGAATGCACCCATAATGGGAAATAAGAAAACGGTTAATATTGATCCGAAGAGCACCATATGTAACTTAGAACCATATTTAGATGGAAATGGTATTTTACGAGTTGGAGGCCGTGTGAAAAAGTCATTTTTACCCGAAGATGCAAAACATCCGATTATTCTACCATCGAAAAATCATTTTTCTGTTTTGTTGACTCGTCAAACACATGAACAAACGCTACATGGTGGTTTTGGGTTGACTAATCAAAGGCTTCGCCAACGATTTTGGATCATTAATGGCCGAACCATGATAAAGGGAACTATCCATAAATGTGTGACATGTTTCC